TCGCCACTCGGCCCCTCCCGTCGCGCCGCCTGCCGGGAGGGCTGCATCCCGCTCCCGCCTGCAGGTGAATTGAAGGTCGGCGGGGAGGGAAGGACGCGGGCTGCCGGGTTTGCTGCAGACCTGGCACCGGCTGGGGCAGACGGAGTGCGCAGCCCGCTCCCAGCTGGGTGTTCCCCTCCTCCATGCTGCCACCCCCTACAGGGCGGCTGGAGCAGCAAAACAAAACAAAAAAAACAGGGGGAAAAAAAAGGGCGGCCGTGCCACCCTAGGATTGGACAGAGTGCTGCCCCTTAGAATCTGCTGCCCCAAGCACGAGCTTGCTCGGCTGGTGCCTGGAGCCGGCCCTGTTTACATACAAAGTCAATGGAGAGATGTAAAAACAGGGAGGCAGCACTCAGGAAAATAAGCTGACTTGGGGCACAAAGAATGAATTTTGCGGATATAAATGGAAGGCAAAGAAGACACCCTTTTATCCTGCACCTAGGAAGTAAACAAGTGGTTTGGTTACCTTCATGAAAACAGGATCTCAACCAACCTTGGTTGAAATGCTGCAGAAGACATTGGCTGAGATAAAACTTCTTTAGATAGGAGGTTACCCTGTTAAGTCTCTAGAAAGAGTGTTATGATTTTTGTTGTGTATGTCTCCAATATCCTTACTCACTGCCACTTGAACCTTGAATCTTTATTAATGAACTTATTGTGGTTTTCACTATAGATATATCTAAGTGCTGTGGTATTAAGCTAGATGTTGATCCTGAATTGAATCATACCAGCTAGTGTGTATGCTTTTCCTTTGGGGACAGCAACTTGGTATTTTTTTGTATGGTTAGTGGATAAGGGGCTGGATACTACAGGGGAATGCTTCAAAGGGACTTGGGGATTAGGGTGCACCTATGATTAACCTGCAAGGCAAAGTAAAGGCTGGCATATCCAGAGGAGAGTGCGTTAGTGGCTAGCAGACTGGTAGTGTCAGGGAGCTTGGGACAGATTTTCATTACCAATCTGCCTGGGCCCACTGTTGATCAGGCTGGGGCCACAGGATCTTTTGGGGAGGAGATGACGAGGCACACACCAAGTGTCTAAATTTTTAAAGCTTTATTAATAAAATAATAAAAATGCTGGGAACACTTTATTAATAAAAAAATAAAAACAGAGAATGCTGGGAACACTCCCATGTCACTCAGGGGAAGAAAGAAAGCATTAGATCCCCAAGCCCTAACCCACTTTCATACCCACACATGCACTACCCAAAGCTGGCCAGGCCTGGGTGTAATGTAAGAAGAAGAGGGGAAGGGGTGGATGGGAGTTCTTGCCCTGGGCCCAGGTCGTCTGGGGGATCCGCTGTAATCTCCGAATTGCTCCAGCTCTCAGGAGGGTTTTAAGTCCTGGGCTCCTTGGGGGTGTTCCATTCCACGACCTCTGGTCCTGGTGCTCCTTGTGCCAGTCCAAACCGCTTTCTGTGGTCTCTTTCCCTTTCCCAAAACATCCCGGCTCTGGAGACTGTTTTCTTTTCTGTCTTTGCCTTCACTGGTCTCGCTGTTATCTTTGCAGCTCTGTGTCTCAGTTGCTCTCGCTGTTCTCGCTGTTATCTTTGCAGCTCTGTGTCTCACTTAGTTCTTCTTTTCTCACAGCTGGTTGGGGTCAGGGGGTGGGTTGGACTTCCCCGCCTTCTGTCTTGGCGGGTAGCAGCTGGCCTTGGGCTGGAGTTCTCTTATCTTCAACTGAGCTTGTTAATTGCAGTGTTGAGTTAACCCGTTCTCTGCTCTTTTCTTTTTCTTCACCCCCTTTTTTGGCCTCTTGTGACCTACAAAGAAACCTTCCACTCTCCACTCATACACCTTTAACCCTCCCCAAAATGCTTTGCGATGCTTGCAACAGCGTTAGCAATATACAGTGCTGATCTGCCTTCCCAGGGGACTCCCTAAGGGGAGGGGGCCATTGGGTGTGACAAGCTGACACCCAGCTAAGCACAAGAATGTCTGCATCATGCTGGATGCAGGTGGGTAACTAGATGACTTACAGTCCTAGGTACCCTAAGAACCATCAGGGTCCACCTTTGCTTTTCCTCTCTGAAGTTCCTTTTTTCCCCCCAGCACAGGGAGTGACTCCTGCCTGGATTGTCTCCCTATCCCAGCAGGTGAGAGGATGGTGAGTGAGAACAAGGAGGGGAATCCTCAGCAGGAAGGTCCTGAGCATGTGGAACCAGGTGAGATGATATCAGGAAGATCTGAAGGGGATGTTTCTCAGTGTGCTGAGCAGGGAGAAGCCCGTGAAAGTCAGTGCAAGCCAGAGAGGCAGCAGAGAAACCATGCAAGGGAGAACCAGTGTAAATCTACTCACAGGAGCCGAGTGGTCAAGAAAATCAAAGAAACTGTTCAACAGAGAATCCCCAGTGGAGATAGACCCCATACATGCAGTTTCTGTGGGAAAAGCTTCTGCTCGAGATCAGCCTTTATTAGTCACCAGAGAACCCACACAGGAAACAGACCCTACAAATGCAACGAGTGTGGGAGAAGCTTTAGTCAGAGCTCAACTCTCACTATTCACCAGAGAATCCACACTGGGGAGAGACCCTACAGATGCAACGAGTGTGGGAAAAGCTTTAGTCGGCGTGGAAACCTT